TACAAGTGACATTGCAGGCTCCAGAAGCATGTTTGCTCAGGCTGTTGCCAGAGCAAAGCAGCATGATCCTCTGAATACCTCAACACCTGGCACCGGGAAGCGGAACCATCTATCGGTGCTTGGTGTGGGTTACCTCATCAAGGTGGATTGGTTACTTCGTCCCTCTGGAGATGGAGAACTAACTGACCTAATGTAGTAACCCACTATCCCACTGCATGGAGGGTCTCAATAGTCAGACTTCATCTGGACTGGGATGACAGCTACAGCACAAGAGACTGAAATGGGTCTCCTTTTCTAATGTACAGCAAATTGGGTGATTTTATTCACAATCCTTCAAGTGACCTCCCCACGATAGTGTGTATGACACACTCAGCTGGGGAAATGTCTAAGACAGCTGCTATTCATTCTCACCACCTGAAGGGAAGTCACAAGCATGATCCTAATAGAAGGGCAAGAGTTATCCCTTTTGCTACCTAAGAACCACCTGTCTTTCCAACCATATGCCCCACTCTGCTTTCTTCCCTTTGGGGCGACCAGCATCTTCCTAGAATGGGCTTACTTCTTCACCTCAGTGAAAAACAAAAACAGCTACTGGGTCTGTGGATAGCTTCCTTTCTCAAGAGCTGAAGACGTGTTTGGAACATGGAGCCCCTGGCTGTAATTAACTGGGTAGCTATGGGAAGTGAATGGGGTCCTGTTTGAGCCTCTGTAACTAAGATGGAGATAACAGGAGAGGAGAGGACACAACCTCACCGTTTCTGGGGCCCAGACTGTCATGGAAACACTTGTCCTGCTAAGAGACAACAAAGCCTCCCAGATGTGACCATGAGAGGGCAATTACTACCTCTGGAATGTTTCATGTTTGTTTATGCCTGAACAGGGTGTGTTGGGTAAACACACCTCTGTCTGTTTTGAGTTGAGTAAAACCCTGTGGGTTCCCTTGTATCCTTCCAAGTCCTCCCCATGAAAAGTGGGCTGGACCTGTGTCCCATTGTCAATGGGTGATAGGGCTGAATGCCATTGGCTGGTTGCAGTGGAAATACTCTCACAAGACCACAGGAACATATCTCCCTCCTAACAGCATCCAATAGATGTATGGCTGCTACTTTTGGCCCCGATTGCCATGGGATTGAATTGGACACTATACATTGGTTTGCCCTAAGCTTCAGGGACCATTGGGGAATCTATATTAAAACTTCTGAATCACTCCACAGTAAAAGTCCAGTGGACTAAGTACAGTGTTTTCCACTGGGATGATTACCTTTTGACTGTTTTTGTCCTTCCCTTGGCTCCTTAAAAGTAATGGGACAAATTGAAGTGGTATCAATTTTACTAAACAGGCCTTGAACAATAACAGGGTAAGCTTTCAGTTATTAACTGTCAAAACTACCCAAATGAGGAAAGTGGTCCTCCAGAATCAAATGGCTCTGGTCATTCTGATAGTTGCTCAAGGCCACACATGTGCTGTAGTGAAGGTTGAATGTTGTACCTATATACAAGATTACCACCAGACCATTACTCATATGGTAGGCCAAAACAGATAGAGGCCCTAGAGATACCTGATCTCGTCTGCTGTGGCTTCCTGGTTTTTCTCCTTCCTCTCTAGCTGGTGAGGGTTCTTGCTGGGTGTTTGTTGGCCTTTTCCTGGGTATAGAGTTGTCTGGCTATGTTTGCCTATATTATTGCTGTATTCTGTGCCTCCAACTGCAGCAACACTGCCTATCCCTACCTTCATAGTTGTGACACCTCCCCTCAGGGCCCTCAGAGAACTCCTGGAAAAGAGGGGCATACCAGATTGTAAGAGCTGGTCTCAAGGTGTGACTATAGGGAAAACAGCTTTTTTTGAGGCTGAATATGGCTGTACTCTTGCTCTCTACTAGCTCACTTCTACTTGCTAAATCATTCTTATATAACACTTGCTGAGGTGGCCTTGAAGGGCTGGGGCCCTGGCAAAAAGCCACCTTTGCTCACTACAGCCATACAAACCCTTGCCGCCCACTGGGGGGGGCGGGGTACAGAGACTTAAGTCTGCCCTGTCAATACCTAGGGCTTCGCCTTGTAAGCAAGCCCTTTAATAAAGGTCTGTACCATAAATCTGGAGCTGCCAGCCTCATTCTTTGCTCTCTTGGCCCTGTCCACATTGGAGGCAAATTTAAGAGTTACCGGTCCATGCCCAAGGAGCTCTGATGGTGCAGTGTAAAAGCATTTGGCTGCTAACAAAAAAAGACTGGTGGGTCAAACCCACCAGCCACTCTGCAGGAGAAAAATGAGGCTATCTACTTCTGTAAAGATTTATTGCCTTGGAAACCCTACAGGGTCACTATCAGCCAAAATCAACTCAATGGCAGTGGGTTTGGCTTGGCAGTGAGTTTCACTATTAACGATTTAACCATTGTGATATATTCTCACTTGATGTATTTTATTTATCAGGAATTGGTTGTCATCCAAATCTCTTGGCATACCTATCCATGTCCAATTTTTTTTTTTAATTCCAATTTTTGTCTTGGTGAAACTGTTTTCAGTGTTCTAAAGGGAAGAAAATCTGACAAATCCTATTGTAAATTTTTGTATAACAGTAATAAATCATATAGTTATTCCTCTTGCTTGGGTGATTTTTGGAACAAATTGAAATGCATTGCATGATATCCAAACTGAAAAAAATATATATATAGTTTTAGATACGAATTAGAGCAAAAAACTTTTAACCATCCTATCTTATTCTGTTCACCCCACCCCCACCCATAGTTCTGCCCATCAACAATGGGGACCTGCCTCTTAGAAGAGTAGTGACATTCATGCCTCATTGACTTTGAGCTTGACCTTGTGACACAGTTTGACCAATGGAATGTCAGCAAAAGTGAGAGCATGCTAGCTCTGAACAGACATTTCAGAAGCATGATGTGTTTCCACTAACGCAACTGCTGCCGTGGAGTCAGATCCAACTCATAGCTACCCCTCTGTCAATTTCTGAGGCAATTATCACTACAGAAGTAGATTGCCCAACTTTCCTTCCAAGGAGTGGCTGGTGGCTTTGAACTGCTAGCCTTCTGGTTAGGAATCAAATGCCTTAGGCACTATACCATGAGAGCTCCTCATCCATTAATTTGTGCCCAAATAATTCTGGTAACAAGCTGCCCAAATAATACCGACCCTCTAGTCTGCATCTCTGAAAGAGATGGAGCAGATCTAAGTGGCAGCTTGGGAACCAACTTAGCTTGGAAACCCAGCAAAGCCTCACAGAGGCACAGCAACCTGCACACAGTCATGAGATAACATGAGTTTTAGCTGGGCTCTCTTTGATCGTCTCTTTCCCTGAACTCTCTGTTAAGCCGTCTGCTTCTGTTGATATTACACCCAGCTGGTTGTTGGTCTTGTTAGGTGCCATCAAGTTGGCTCTGACTCATAGTGACCCTATGTACAAAAGAATGAAATACTGCCTAGTCTTGCACCATCCTCACAATATTTGCTATGCTTGAGCCCATCATCATAGCCACTGTGTCAAATCATCTCATTGAGGGTCTTCCCCTTTTGTGCTGACCTTCTCCAAGGACTGGGCCCTTCATAATATGACCAAAGTATATGAGATGAAGTCTGGCCACTCTCACTTCTAAGGAGCATTCCAGTTGTACTTCTAAGGCAGGTTTGTACCCAGCTGGTAGTTTCCACTAATTGGAGGCTGATAAATCTATTGTTTTTGACAATGACTTAGGGCATGAATAGCTCCACAGTGTAATCCAATTAAATTCTAACCCTTCTGCAACAATAGTTTTTGAGGAACACCTTTAAGGTTTTTCCTAAACCCAGAAAGGCTCCTTTTATCTATCTTTTTGTTTGAAATATTTCATAAAAGAGTTAAGTTATAGAAAACTCAATTCAAATACATATTTAGAAGTTACTGAAAAACAGTACAAAGTTCCAACTGTATATGCAGAGTCACCTCTGGCAAACTGCAGGACTTCCCTGCCTTCACTTACGTCTCTTGATAAATCCCCACACAAATCAAGTGGATTAAAGAGAAGGAATAGGGCTGCAACTTTGGTGGGGAAAATCCTGAAGGGAGAAAGGGAGGAGAGGAAAAGAGGGCCTTTGGAACATGGGGAAGCTTTGGGACTGTATATAAGTCTCAAGTTTGTTTTAGTCCCAGGTAGAGATTTCGCCTTCTGATGAGGAAATTTCACTGGAAAAGAGAAACCTTTGGGGGAACAACACTCAAGGCTACATAACTCTTCTCTGAGCTTCTGCTAAAACATTGTCTCATACCTTGTTGAAACTGTAGGAAACTTTCCCAACAATCTACACAGGAGGAAAATAAATTTTATCTAGACCTTGGCTAAGCAACAGAAGGATAAAATTCAGGATATTTATGCCATCTTATCTGGATGGTGGCCTTGTACTTAGGCTACAGGTGAGTTTTTTTAACACTGAGATGTGATGGAAAAGCACTGAGGGTGTCTTTCTGAATCTGTAAAATGAGATAATGGTAATATTCATTTCCATTAGTGTGAAACCTACTGAGATTAAGTAAATGGAATCACTTGGCCAAAGAAAAGGACCAAGCCAATGCTGGTCACTATTCCAAGGGAGAGACATATATGCATCATAGGGAAGTTGTAAGAGAAAAAGTGTTTAGAGTGTAGGCACTAATCATGGGGAACACCAAAGACTCGATAATTATAAAATACCAGCAGAGCTCTGTGTGATCTTTAGAAATTAAACACAGATAGGTTTTTCAGGCATGTTGGCTATAGCAGCATCATTTATTACATTATTAGGAGGGTCCGGCAGCCATTTCAAAGAGAATAAATAATAGCAGCAGGAATAGTAAGAACAGGAAAAGAAAGAAAAGGAAAGCAGCAGCCTCAAAAACCCAAAGCTTCTTCCTAGAATGTCCCTGGTGCCACTCACTAAATCACATTTAGTGGAGGCAGGAAGAAAGAGACATTTCTAGCCTTGCCCTACCCCATACAACCTGGTGTGGGAGCTGGAAAATCTGCTTATGGCAAGCGCTAGATGACCTCAACCACTGTGTGGATCTTCTGATGGCGAATGAGGTTGCAGTGACGATTAAAGCTTTTCCCACATTCATTACACTGGTGGGGTCGCTCCCCTGTGTGGCTTCTCTGATGCTCGATAAGAAAGGAACGCCGACTATAGCTCTTATCACATTGGCTGCAGTGATACGGCTTCTCTCCCTTGTGGATTCTCTGATGCTGGATAAGGCCTGCACTCTGACTGAAGGCCTTCCCACACTCTTTACAGTGGTACCGTTTTTGTATATTGTGGATTCCTCGATGATTGAAAAGACCAGAACTTCTACTGAAGGTTTTCCCACACTCATTACATTCATAGGGTTTTTCTCCGGTGTGAATTCTTTGATGTCGGAGGAGACCTGAGCTCTGAGCGAAGCTCCTCCCACATTCATCACATTTGTGTCGTCTCTCTCCCAATAGGTTTCCCCACCTCCTCTCTACTTGCCCCTCATGTTTACCAACTTCTCCATGTTGGGGACCCTCGTATGATATCCAGTTCTGTCCATGAAACATTTTCCCATGTGGTTCCACTATTTTAGAATAGTTTTTCCTTAGCACCAACTCTCTGTCCTCAGTCTTGGTCACTCCATCTGAAAAAAACAAAACAAAACAAACAAAAAGATTAGGTAAATGTCACTTGCTTCCTGAGCCTACAGAAACACAAAGTGCTTCACAGAAACACAAAGTGCTTATAGCTTGACATCATAAAACAGGCAAGAGGTTAGAAACAGAAGGGTCAGCGTGGTAATATGTTCTTATAGGTAACAAGGGTAACAAGTTTGCTCTCTTTGGCAAAATGTAGCCTAGTCTATCCCCATATGGACTGTTCCTGGAGAGATCGTTTTATACTTTTCATGAGGAGGGAAGGGCCAGTGTCAGTGTGACTTTCCTGGAGTTTCCTCAGATAATAGCAAGGCTCAAAGTCTTTGCTTCAACTCTTACCTTCTCAGTGAGGCCCTATATTAACCCTATTAATACCAAAATTTGCTTCCCCTGTAATAGCACTCTTAGTCTCCCTTATCTTACTCTATTTTTACTTCCTAATATACTATGTAATATTCTTATTTTATGTTTATTATTTCCCCTTGCACAATCTAATCTTCATGAAAGCGAAGATATTTCTGTTTTATTCCCTAAGAATCATGCTTGGCACACAGTAGTTGCTCATTAGATATTTGTTGAATGAATGAGAGGGAAAGGATTGAAACCAATCCTACTATAGGAAGCCCCAGATTATGAACAATTCCATCTGTAAGTCTATCTGTAAGTCAAATTTGTACATAAGTTGGAACATTTAGGTACAGTTTGTGTGTAAATCAGTTAGTCAAATGTTTATCTTAGTATACAGTATTTAGCACACACTTCTATACATAAAAAACATTAAAGAAACACTTTCAGATTCACTAAAATATCTTTAACATAATAATACACTAATAATAATAATGTTTTGACACACATCACAAAGTAGCACCCATTTGTTATTATGAACCATTGTATGTACCTCTCATTTTTAATATAATAGGCTTTATGGGGTTTGGTTCATAATTACAGGTTGCATGAAAGTCAGACATTTGTAACCGAGGGACTGTCTGCACTATAGAGCAGCCAAGGGACTGGCACCTGAGTCAAATGCTGCCCCACTGCACTGTTCCATATTGGACAGTGTCCAGCCAAACCACTCAGACCTTTGCTTGGAGGAGTTGAAGGTGAGAAGTAAGAGAAACAAACCCAGACTTTCTAGAGAGCAGGTGCTGTGGTATCCTTAGTATGCTTCAGGATCCCCAAGTGTGATCCCACTCTATAAACCAGAAAATCTCAAGGAAAACAACCTCTAACCCCCCTTTTGACAAACACAGATGGTTCTTTCTTCCATGTTTAACTGTATTATTCTTCATGTACCTGGATAGGTATCTCTTAGGCCCCCTCTGCTATTAGACGATGGTTCTACTTCTTTTTTCTGTTGGGAGATCACAACAGGCTTGGAAAGTAGAAATTTGTCTGCAGAGAAGAAATAGGTCACAGGTAGAATCAGTACTACCCTTTTTCCCAAACTTCATATTTACATATATAATGTACAAGGGAACCAGGTAGAATATAAAAACTGAGACATTTGCCACCTATTAATAACTACCATTTATAGAGCCTCCCATAGCTTACAAAGCACCTTCATGCACATTATCAAACTTACTCACCACAAAACCCCTTGATGTTATTACCCCACCTCTTTTAAGATTTGTGTATGTTTTATGTGTCGGTAGCTAGACAAGACTCTCTACATGTGGGAAGAAGTCTAGAAAGACACAGCAAGCTAATTGCCCCTGAAGAGTTGAATTTGGAAAACGTTCACCTTCACTACATAAATTTCTGTATTATTTGGATTTTTACAACTGGCATGAATTTAGAAGAAACTCCAACTCAGTGATATAAAGTTACTTTTAAAATGCTGGTTGGCTAGAAAATTGAAGAGCTAGAACCTGAATTTGGTCTCTACAATCTCAGAGACTTACTATGTTGCTTCCCAATATTTGCTTTTCCTGAATTTTTAGCACACACCTTCAGTTATAGTCCTATAGAGAGCACACTTGGATCTATAGCTGCCCTCTTGATACCCTCCTGTAGCCATAGTAGATGCTTCATAAATGTTTGTTGACTAAAGCAATGACTAAATGGATGGATAGGTGGAAGAGTAGGTTCTAAGCAGGGTTTTAGATGCAGTTTGGAAGATGGAAGAAAGGAAATAATTGGAAAATCAAAGGTCCAAGAGTTCCTGGGAGGAGGAAAAAGAAACAAATAAGGGAATTGACTGGAAATATGCTCATAAAGGAAATAAATGAACCAGAAAGAATTTTAATATTATGAGGTCATGGGCACAAGAGAAAGGTTTGCAGGACTTACTCAAAATTAAAATATACTTTAATTTAAATTAAGAGATGTGTTCCAAGTGGTAGAAATCCATGATAATTGTATGTTGCTAGAGCAAATGGGAGAAATAGAGACTGGAAGCAGAGAGGTTGGGCAAGTTGGGGTTTTGATACAAACAGGGATGATGTGAAATCGAAAACAGTACAACTGCTTAAGATTGATTGCAGGAGGTTAACAAAAGGTCAGAAGAGGCTGTCACATTACAAATGGGAATTCTGACTGGAGCCAATTGCTGCAGAGAAAGCTAGGATGAGAACGTAGCTGACTCTGTCCAAAGCGCCCACAAGAGTAGCCACTGCCCCCACTAAGAAGATTACATTCAAGGAAATGGCAAGATCTGATATTCACTAGATTCCCACATAGTTGCTGTCTACTAAGCAAATCTCATACCTTTCCACTGCAAGTGTGAACCCAAATCAGTAAGGGTTGTTATTGTTGTTATGTGCCGTCAAGTCGGACCTGACACATAGTGACCCCTCCTTGGGTTTCCGAGGCAGTATCACTACGGAAGTAGATTGCCCAACCTTCCTTCCTAGGAGTAGCTGGTGGGTTTGAACCACCAGGCTTCTGGTTAGCAGTCAAGTGCCTTAGGCACTATGCTACCAGAGCTCCCAATCAGTAAGGGTAGAACTAGAGTTTTCTGATAAGAAAAGCTACCATATTATTAAACATAATACATAGTGCCAGGCATAGTGCCAAATGGTTCTCATAAATCATTTTATTTGATGCTCACAATAATCTTCCAAAGTACATACTATTATCAATTCCATTTCGCAGATAAGGGAAGTAAAGTCAAGTGGTTAAGTAACCTGCTCAAGTATACGCAGCTTCCAAGAGGTGAAGCTATGATTTGAATGAACCTCTGTCCGTCAAACCTCAAAGCCAGTTCTCTAAAGCTGGCCTCAGTGTTTGCAAAAAGCTTTTCTAATGTAGGATGTGCCGGAAGATGTCCAGGATGGTAATGAGGGAGAGGACTGCATGTGGGGGAGGGGGATGAATACGGGAAGCACTACACCTTGCTACTAACCTGCTAAAAGGTCTTCTGATCTCGTTTCCCCACTTCTGAGATTGGTTTTTGGTTGATCAGGTGAGTATGTTCAACATCAGATAAATCCTATCCCTCACCTGTCGCTCCAATAGGGTGGGGCTCCTGGGCAGGGTCACATGTGAGCTGTGGCTTCTTGGGCTGGGACTGAAGGCTCAGTGATGTCTGCTTTCCTAGAGGCACTCTCTCTTTAAAGAGGATTTCTTGTCTGCGAGCTACCATCTGGGGACAATGAGACAAGATTTGACTTCTGAAGGAATAACAACTGTTATGTTGTTGTTATGTGCCGTTGAGTCGGCCCTGACACATAGTGACCCCTCCTTGGGTTTCCGAGGCAGTATCACTACGGAAGTAGGATTGCCCAACCTTCCTTCCGAGGAGTGGCTGATGGGTTTGAACCGCCAGCCTTCTGGTTAGCAGGCAAGTGTCTTAGCCACTATGCTACCAGAGCTCCTGAAGGAATAACTATCTGAAGAAAATATGTCCCAGAAAAGAAGGAAGTTGGAACCAGAGTCTTAATTTAATTACCAAAGTCAACGAGGTACAAAGCAGAGGCTACAAGGCCCTGATGACCCACACATGCATTTTTCCTCAACAAATTTCCCTTCCTACCTCATGTTGTGGTTCATCGAGCTCTCTCTCCAGATCCTCCAGCAGAATCACGGCCTCTTCCCCACTCTCTGGACAATGTTCTCTTACCCAGCTCTGGAGCTCCTCGGGCAGGATAGTCAGGAACTGCTCCAGCACCAGCAGCTCCAAAATCTGCTCCTTTGTGCTCACGTGTGGCCGCAACCATTGGCAGCAAAGTTCCCGGAGTTGCGTAAGAGCCTCCCTTGGCCCAGGAGTCTCCTGGTAGCAGAGCTGCCGAAAGTGTCTTCGGAAGATTTCTCTTGCCAGTGGATTATTACGTTTCAATCTGGATTCCTGTCTTTGGAGGCTTTCCGCCTCCACTTTCTCTTTCCGAAGCCCTTCCCACACCTCAGGAATTTGAATATCCAGGGATAAAACCTCCTTCAAATCTGTATTCATCTTGACCTTGAATAGCTTAAAAGGTACCCTCCAGCTGTACTATGCTTCAAGAAACACCCCTGGAGCCTTCCTACCTAAGGGGTAAAAATCATTGTTAAAATAGAAAAACGGCAATAGCTAATGTTAGAAACTGGTAACACAAGCAATGGTAATAGTTCTTAAAGCTCTTCACTGCAAATAATAAGGAGCCATGGTGGCACAGTGGTTAGTGCTTCTAACCTTCCAGCCTTGGAAATCCTAGGGGCAGTTACACTCTGTCCTATAAGGTCCTATGAGTTGAAATTGACACTATGATAATGGTTTCTCTGGAGTGTGTGTGTGTTTGGGTGAGAGAAAAAGAGATTAAGGATGGGGCAATGGAAAATATAAGGTCATAATGGGCAAAGAACATAGGCTTTCAAGTTACCTAGATCTGGGTTTGATCCTGGTTCTAATATTTACTAATCTTGTGACCTTGTGTCAATTTCTTAAGTTATTTTAATCTCAGTTTCTCTACATGAAAAGAAAAATAATACCTTGCAGAGTTCGTGTGGGAAATGGCCTGTGAATTAGGGTCTACACAGATCACTCAGAATGTCTGGATAAAATTTTTGGATTTGCTGTACTAAGTCAAATTAAGAGAAAGAATAAATGGGAATATCGTTCATGACGTTGACTGAATGAACTAACATTTATTAAAGTCTTTACTTGAGTTTTATTTAATTAATAAAAACAACCATTTAGAGTTGATACTGCTTTCACTAAATTTACAGAAAGAAAATAAGGAAGATTTCAAGTCCTGAGAGCTTTTCACACCACCCTGCTGCTTTCTAAGATTACCAGTCAACATTGTACAACAGTGTACAAAATGCTTTCAGATATGAGACCACATTCAATCTTCACAATTGCCCTGAGGTTTTAGTAGAATCACTGTTTCACAAGACAAGACAGTCTAGGGGAAGTTAAATAGGTTACCCACGCCAAGTTCTTTATGAGGACAGACATAAAAAAAAAACCCACAGAAGCCAAGGGAGATGTCTGCCGCATGATTTCAAGCAGTGCCTGAGACCCAGAAGGCCTGAGTGTCTCCAAAATGTCAGTAAGTGCAGATTAGCAGCTGAATTCCTCCTTGACAGGCCCTGTGGCAGACTTCTGAATTAGGAAGGTGGACGGGGAGACCCAGAGTATTATCTTTAACAGGCTCCAGAATCTACTCGAGACGGCAGTGATTTGCATGCACTCTAAGGTTCGAGCTAAAGGAAATGGAATCAGCAACTGTCACATTCTGCACTTCAAAACCAGTCCGTTCAATGCCCCCTTATCTGCTTTCATAAGCAAAAGGTAAGAGGGTATACTGGCTCTCCATGGTGCGGGCTGCAAAACGCAGTTTTTTTTTTTTTTGTCCTTAACTTCTTCCTCGAGAATATTTCCTCGGCCTAAAGGCGTTTCCTACAATCAGTCCTAATTCTTATTTCCTCGGCCTAAAGGCGTTTCCTACAATCAGTCCTAATTCTGTTGTCGTTATTCACCATGGTGACCTTTCAGCCTTGCAGCCCTCACAAAAGCCCCACGGCCCCGGAATGACCGGATGGATCCAGGGGTCGCCCGGGGCCTGCGGACCTAGACCCCCGTCTCCCCCCTCCGCCCCCGCTCCAATCTCCCCAGGGCTGAGGTTCACTCTCCACACCCCTTTCTCACCCCTCCCTGTTCGGGGGGACTACTCACCAGACCTGGAAAGGGCGAAGAAGGAGAGGGGGCGCTCTAGCCCGAGAACTGAAAAGAGGGCAGCAACCGGAAAACAATGGCCGGGCGGGGAAGAAGTCTTCCCATCCTTTCCAGTCGGCGGAGCCCAGGCACTTCCGGACTGGTCTAGGACTCCGGGTCTCGGTTTCCTACCTCCTGCACTTTCCTCCCTTGGGAACCAACCCTCAAATTTCTGGGCATCTGGTTCTTTCTAAGCATAGAATTGCATCATTAGAATTTTGTACTAGTGTGGATCCCCTTCAGGTTTTAAATTGAAAACATTGGTGAAGCTTGACCGCTAAACTAAGGAAAATATTATTTTTCAAAAGTATTTAAGGATTAGTACATGATTTATGTTTTAAAAAAACAATCTCAGAAAATTTTTAAATTAATGAAATAAAATGTGAAACCCTATTCCGATTCTCCTTAGTGTCATTTCCCCAAGGTAGTAGCCAACGTCACTTAAGTTTGGAATTTGTCTGTATCATTGCCCAAGCCCCCCCCCCGCCCCGCCCGTGTGTGTGTGTGTGTGTGTGTGTGTGTCTCACACACACACACACACACACGAAATGACATTAAGTTATTTTACATTTAGCTTTTCCTCCCATTTACTTAACGTTTTCACTTCCTATATCTTAAGACATCTTTATCGATCATACAAGTCTAATTCTTTTAGTGGCTGTATAACCGTCCATGAAGAATTCCGACTACAATGTATTTATTTACCCAGGCCCCTAGATATTGATGGACTTGTGCTTTGTTTTCTTTTATTCTATAAAAGTCTGGATTTTTAGTAAAAATACAAAATTGGTTCAAAAGCAATTAAATTTATTGGCACAAAAGAGCATAATTATAACTACTGTTAGTCATTCACCACTTTTATTACCAACCACGATGGTGGTATTGCATACATTAAACTTGGTCTTTTTTGTTTGTTTTGATTTTATCACACAGGTAAAAAAGTATCTTGTGTGCCACTGAAGTTCCATAATGCCTTTTAACTTCAAAAATGTAGCTTTGTAAATTTCTTTAGTTGATTTCCTCAATTTAACCATCTCAGGGCATTGAATAAACTCAGGTTTCATGTTTACTTCAACTTCTACATATCCAATAATATGTCATCATTAAGAGCACCAACATGAAGAAAATTTGGTCAAATTCCTAATCATTTTCCCAACATATCATGTAATGCTTCATTTGCAAAGCCCTCATTACAAACTTTGAGAATGACCTAGATAATGGGAGTCAATGCTCAACTTCTTTGGGGATTTGAACAGACTGCTTATATATCTTACTCTTTTTCATTTGGATGCCCATCTATGACACCAGAGTGCCTGACATATAACACAGCTTTCTCAAATGAGTAATCGGTTAGGTTCTCTAGCTGGTTTATGTGTGGTTTTTAAATAGGTCAAACATTTTAACTATTGGACTCAGGTAGGCACCGCTCTAGGGTCACATGAACTACACGTTGAATTTCCTATACTTAAAGCAGTCTGAGGAAGACTGGTCCCCACGTTTCTTTGGGGGGAGATTTCCCTGTATCTTAATGAGTGTTCTGGAAAATAAGGTATAATTTTTTTACTTAGAGTTGGGAAGCCCTATTGAAAAAGTCACTCCATTTGAGACCAATCCCCAGGATTCAAAGTTACTGACAAACATCATGGTTTGTGGTTTCTCATAAAAAAGGTGCAATTCATGTTTTTGGTTCATACTTTTATGTCTGGAGCAATGGTCAGCACAGTAGGTAAAGGGTTATGTTAGCACAGGGAAAATCACACCTCTGGGCAGAGTTGGTATGATAATGAAATATGCTTATATGAAAATGAGATGTGGTAACTTTTTGCAACAGTGCATGATTACAATGTTTGTGTATGTTTAGCATGTATCTAAATCTGTGATCATATCACCTTCTTGATTCAGCAACCTATAAAACAGTGAGCCACTAGCAGAGGACAGACAGAATCTGAGGTTAGATATCTGTCTGTCTCCTTTAGCATGATAAAGAATAAAGCTCTTTCTTACCCTTACCTTGGTGTGGTTGCTAACTGGCAAGACTTGCACCATCATGGACCTACTTTAGGCAACAAACTCAGGGATAAGAATTGCTGACAAGACTTAACTAAAAGATTCAGAGTTACCTGAATCTAGAAGCAGGTACATTGGTTACTGGCTCTGCTATGGGTTATGTCTTAAGCTCCAAAGAAAAGAAAAAGATTTGGAGGTAACACAGAAATCAGACCTCTTAGAATGGGCCAAGTGTAAAAATATGTGTCCCATATGAATCATCACCAATTCCCTGTGTAAGAAGGTCTCAGTAATCAAGTAGGTAAAATTATCTCCCCTATAAATGTCAGCATATCTTTTTTCAGCCATTCCAGTGTTTGCTCAAGTGTCACTTTTGAGCAGTGTTATTGGTTTAAAAGAGAGAAAGTAAAAAAAAAAAAAAAGGAGGGGGGAGCTTTCTTTCATGATGGCTAATCTAGACACCACTACTTTTGAGAGTCCAGTTTTCAATACCCTCAACCAACACGGAACACCACAGAGCAATGGGACAACATCCCAGTGGGAACAGCCTGATGGCAACTTGACCACATTGTACTCTCTCTAGGGCTGGATGAAGGCATGTGAGGACTGTAAACACTGATAATCTGCGGTGCCTCCTCCTCTGCTCACTTATGCATTTGAATGGGACATGTGAGTTATATACATATGTGTGTGTGTGTTAGCTATCTGTAATGTAATTTCTTTTTAAATGAGACTGTGATATTAGAGATTGGACACAAAAGTAATGTATGTCACTTCAGTGGAATGAGATGAACTGGATCATAAAATTTTTACTGGATGCAGGGTACTAAGATTTTTTACCATATACCACATTTTCTACAAGAAGAATATTCCACATATCCTACAACAAAGAAAGTTAGTCCTAGGACTGGCCTTTGCCCTTGGACAAAACAGTTTTGCAAACTTCCCATAAATAGTGAAGTACTTGATTTGCAATTTCATCACTTTGTATGACTTCTTAGCTAGTAAACGTGATAAATCACTCAATAGGTTTTCCATCTATAGAAGAGACACATCTTAAAATAATACTTATCGTATCTGTACGAGAAAGGTTAGGAGTAGAACTACAGATCAACTGAAGTATCAGGCTATACTTATTTCACTGAAAATAGTTGATCGAACTTTATCACTTTTTAAGTTTATTAATTCATCACACATTATTTTAGACATATACTATGAGTTGTCTTTTCCCATGTTACCATATTTTGAGATATGACCTGCCAAGAATGGATCAAAGTGAACAACAGTTTCAAGTAAACCCTCCAAATTTCCATTC